GGTGACCTAGTTATAGTTAAAGTAAATACCTTTTCATCGACTCTACTTGAAGCACTCCTTGACTGCCGACTCAAACTGTTGCTAGTCACGGAACACGAACATCGTGACCACTGGACAAGTCGCTCGGCTCACGGTAAGGGAACCAGTACTGAATATGAGCTGTCTTTCAGTTTCTTTCCACTGACAAAAGGCGTTTACTTAAATGTGAGTGATAGCAAAGTGTACAAAGTAATTTTTGTGAAAGATTTCTGCCACAGAAGTCAAACAGGATAAAAATAACCGAGGAAAAGTGGGGTTTGATATTAGTTTATCAACAAGTATTTGAATCAGCCACGAATTCCGGGAAAAAGAGAAAATGGAATATTTTTATTATTTTCCAGCCTACCACAGTTAAATAAATATTAGTAAATAATCTGTTTCTGAAAGGTAACTTTGAGTTATCACTTTGCTTTCCTTCGCCGTAACAGATATGGAGAATCTATTTTCGCTTTCAATTTTCCTTCCGGTCTCTTCATTTCTTCGAGCGGTGGTTTGTTAGTTTGGTTGATCGGTATTATCCGTAGGCTCTGAATCGTCACTTATACAATGACAGGGTTTATAGAACAACACCTCAAGAATTATTTTCTCTAAAACTGACTTTTGACCTCAAAACTAGTCAATCCGCGAGGCCGTGCCACAAGTGTTCGTGTTTGTAACGAGGTCGATTGAAGTGCAGTTTCTTATTGCGTTATGGTAAATATTACACCAGACTGTGCCACAGGAGAGAACCTCGAATGATTTTCAAAGTGTGATATTTAGTTATTAGGGAAAATTTGCATAACTCTGCGTGGGGTAATGTGCATCAAAACTTCATCCGTTTGAAGTTTTTGTGTCGGCCAGCGTTTTTATTTTCTTAAATGTAAGTTCTAATCAAGATTAGAATCGTATAAAGAAGGTATTCAAGCGACCACTGACGGAGAAAAGCGAGGTTATCGCCAGTACACGAGCTTTGCCGCAGAGAGACACTTCAGGAGCTCGGCTCCGGGTAATCTGACAATTTTATCTTTCAGTTTCATTTCACAGTGAAAAAATAAGTATTTACTCAACTGCTTGTGATGGGAAACATGTACTAAGCTGTTGCAATGATAGATCTATGTCATAATTAAGAATCCTCAAACAGTTTGACCATAAGTGCAGTGGAGGATATGTTTCTGTTTCTTTTATAATTTTGTGCAGGAGGGTACGCCGCCATGATTCTCGGAAAAGGAACGAGATGAAACACTTTGCTATCATTCAACCGAAAATTGCGTTATATCAAAGGCAATCCTTAATTGAAATTTTAAATTTAAGTTTTTAAGCAGGATAATTCAAATTAAGTTGACTTCTAACCAGTCGACCGTGTGGCTTCAAGAATAAGATCGCAACATTAACTTGCCCATCGGATAATGTTATTGCATCGTGAGACAAACGATGTATTTTTGTGATTCACCTCGATGAACAGCCGCAGTCTTATTCAGTGTGTCAGTTCTTAGTTATTTCTTATCTGTTCTAAGCGTTACGAAATATAACAAATCCGCTTTGCAATGTAATTCATACTCAGTCTGATGCACCTCCGTTTCTCAGAAATACAAGTAGAACTGTGTCAAGTTATTGAATGTTTAAACCACTCTCCACTTCCTCGTCTCCATCCGCTCTCAAATTATACCCAGTAATCTCCTCTTCAACATTTTCAGGATCTCTGTCTACACGTCGACTCCTCTGTTCTCGCTCGTTTCATCTTCAGAAGAGACCGAACTGACTTTTTCCGCAGATATCTTTGGCTGT